AAATATTGATACCAAATAATAGATCCAAAACTTTCAGCAATTTTGGAGCATTTAGCTTTAAATATTGTCTGTAAAATGTTCATAAAAAATCGAATTTCTGCAGGTTTTTGATTACAAATTAATTTAAGAATTTTATCATTTCAAGAAGAAATTCAAATAAAGTTGATATCTTTTGTATTATATATATATATATATATTGAATGGAAAGTATATTCATAGCAGTCTATATATGTGTATATGTGTGTGTGAGTATATATATATATATATATATATATATAATATATAACGTATATTATATATAAAATATATTATATATGTATTTTACATGTTTTATGTTTATACATTCCTTTTATAGATACAAATATTTAAGTAAATGCTCTGTTCATAATAAACAATATTAACATGTACCGGCCTGAATGACAGTTCCGTATAGGTTACAGGTTCGATTCCTGTCGGAGGACGCATATTTTCTATGAAAGTTTCTCGGACATTCAGACCGGTAAATGTCGTTAATACTGTTTATTATAAAACAGAGCATTTACTTAAATATTTGTATCTATAAAAAGAATGTATAAAATAAATTATGTAAATATATATATATATATATATATATATTGTATTTCATTTATATGACGTCATATATATATATGCATTTCATAATATATGGGCATATATATATATATATATATATATATATATATATATATATATAAGGAAGCACAGTTTACTAGTGGATAGCAGCTCGGATTGAGGAATCGGAGAGCCGAGTTTGAATTCCAGTCAAATCCATTGCATTCACTTACGTGCTAATAACCTTGGGAAAAGGTATCAATCCTCTTCTTCTCCCTCCAGCTATGGGTAAAATAGCAGGACAGACTGGGTTCTATAGCCTTGGATAGCAACTCGTCTAGGAGAAGGATAATTCTGAATTTAAAACTTGAGGAGGGTCGTTGCACAAAGCCTTCACCACTATAATCAAATCATATGTGCTGGTATCTGGGCTGTCGGGTCCTAGGAACTGAGATACTTGACCCTCATACGTCGAATACGACGGGAAAGTCCACCACGTATATATATATATATATTATATATATATATATATATATATATATATATATATATATATATATACCAATTCATTCAAACAGATAATTTAGACATGACTTGTCGATTAGTTTTCGTTTTGATCCTTTTTAAGTTCGCCGATTCATTTCTTGGTAGCCTTAGAAAATTGATTAAGAAAAATACCAACGTTTTCTTTCAAATAGTTTTTATTTTCCCAAGTACTTTCAATCTCACCTGAGACCAACTTCAGTGTGTTAAACTGTCTGTGTTAAGCTGTCTTATGTGTTTCTCTAAATTCAAAACATTTCAACTGTTCGCTTTTTACTCCTTATGCAGCATTCTAGATATCAAAGTTCAAAGTTCACGTGTTTTTGTTTTTTTTCCAGTATAAGGGAAGCAACTTTTCCATTTTTGTTCATATATCTATATTTTTTCATAAGCATTTAAGGGCTTTACTGCTATACTGATAGTTTTTTTTATGTATTTTGGGCATTAATTCTCTTATATAAAGGGCTTCAAGCATTTTTAGTTTTTGCTTACTATTGTTTTTCTGTAATATAGTTGTATTTTCAACTTATTTCCGTCTTATCTGTGAGTGTGGGTATAAGTGTTCCTTTAAATGCTGAGTTATTGAACTATGCTCAGACAAATGATATGTAAGCCTTTTTGTCAGAATCGTCTTAGTAAAGCCAACGTAAGTATTGACATTTTTATCTTGATGCAATCTTCCAAAGGACATTTAAATTGATATACAATATTGGCCTTTTGCAAGACGCTACTCAACACAAAAGTATTGTTAGGGATGACTAGGTTCGTTTTAATATATATATATATATATATATATATATATATATATATTATAATAAAGTGAAAGAAGTATAAATTCGAAAGTAACTAATATGTTGATACAATAGTTGTCAGTGAAAAAGAATACCCTACCGGCCTCTTGTTAAAATGATTGGTTTTCCCCATATCCATCGAAACGAATATTATGAATGTATGTGGTTATAAAACTCAGTAAATTTCAAAATAAGTTATTCCAAATTCGCTTGAAAATGAAACAGAACTATTGACTTTAATTTAATTCTATAATTGAATTTGAAGTTTTTAGCTTCTGTTTTTCAAACATGGTAATTCTTGTGTAGCGATGGAACTATATTTTTAAATAAGTAAATTTATAATAATATTAATAATAATAATAATAACCACACGTATCCAAGGATGTCTGTCAACTAGGGCGACTAACAAATCCCTATTGCGGACGCCTACTCAGGCACATATGTGTTTGTTCAATACCCACAGAGCAAACCTTTTTTTATACTGCAACTATGCTGAACAGACCTTATTTAGCGTTTCTAGGAGAGAGCGCTTTATCTAGCGTGATCAATAGTCTGAACAAGCATGCTCAAACACTCGGTCACGATGACTGATCACTTCGTTGCCGAGTGTTTGAGCACAACCTTCGACGGCCGCCGCTGTTCCTATCCACCGAATTTCGTTCACAAGTGTTGGTTAGCAAAGCCCGAATTAAAGTCGAAGATTTCTTCCTGATAATAATCCTAGTAATTAGGACTTAGCAACCCAGATCCTTCTTTGTAGCTGAATGGTTAAGAGCACATCAGATCATGTGATGGTTCCTATTGGGGTTACAGGTTCGAATTCTGACGGAGAAGGGCATATTTTCTACGAAATTTATCGAACATTCAGGCAGATCAATGTAATTATTACAGTCTGTTTATAAAAATAAAGAGCATTAACTTAAATAAACTGTATTCATTAAAGTAACGTATAAACAGAATATATATATATATATATATATATATATATATATATATATATATATATATATATATATATATATATATGAGATGGATTATGATGTGTATCTAGCTAGCTAGATCTTATAAAAAAAACAGTAGAAGGAATGAAACGGTGCACGGACGAGTACTGTCACCAGATAAGTTTTTAATTACCCCTTGTTACATATAAGACAAGCGTAAGGCATCTGTCTTTCTTCTATCCCTCCCTCTTTCACAAACACACCCCGACTCTTTTTATTCGCTTTTCAGTCTATCGTCAAGAAAGCAGTGACTCGATGACCAGCATACGTACACCAACCAATATTTCGCAGGGGCTTGTACTGAACATGTAAGCCTAAGGTAAAAAGCGAGACGCTCACTGTAAATAATTGCAATGCAATAAATGAACTGGCACGTGTATGCAGGCAGCCGCTTCCATGTTGCTATGACGATGACAATTTTTAACTAATCCCCCAGGGTAGTACAAATTTTCCTCCCCTTTTTTTTATATTCTTCTACGTCATCTAATTGACACAAGGCTTGTCTTGGCGTCATTGGCCTCATTCCTGTCTTGATCTTCTATAAATTCTGTGAACGTTCTTTCTTTCTTCACTATGCGTTTTGGCTCGCCTCTTACTATTACTCACACAGGTTTCTGGTGTATATTCTCTTTTTTTTTTCTTCGTTCTTCTGACGTCATGTGTTTTGCTTTACTTTTTATTTTCTTTTGCCTCATTTATGACATCTTGCCTTCATTGCTTGACTTTTACTCCTTTTTTTTTCTTTCTTTTTAACCATTTTCTCCGGACTTTATTATCTCTTTTCCTATCCTTATTTCGTTATGACGTTTTCGTCTTTGTTTTATCTTTCTTTTTTTGTCCTTTTTTACTTTCATCTCACGTTTTAGAATTCATTGTCTTTTCCTTCTACTATTTCTTCCTTTGCGTGTCTTCCCTACTTTACCACGTTCCTCGTTTGTTTTCTTTTTCTCTTTCTCTTCCTTCTTTTTTTATTATTTTTTCTCCTTCCTTTTCTTCATTTTTACCTCATTCCCTGTATGCTTTCTCTTTTTCTTTTTTTTTTTTTCTATTTTACCTCATTCTCAGTTTTTTTTTTCTCCTTCCTTCTCCTTCATTTTTACCTCATTCCCTGTATGCTTTCTCTTTTTTCTCCTTCTTTTTCCTTCTATTTTACCTCATTCCCAGTATGTGTTCTCTTCTATTTCTCCTTCCTTCTCCTTCATTTTTACCTCATTCCCTGTATGCTTTCTCTTTTTTCTCCTTCTTTTTCCTTCTATTTTACCTCATTCCCAGTATGCGTTCTCTTCCATTTCTCCTTCCTTTTCTTTCTTTTTCACCTCATTCCCAGTATGCCTTCTCTTCTATTTCTCCTTCCTTTTCCTTCTATTTTACCTCATTTCCTCATTTTACATACATTTCTTCCTTTTCCCTTACCTTTTTCTTCCTTTTTACCTCTTTCCTCGTATGTAATTTCTTCTTTTCTTCTTCCTTTTCCTTCATTTTTACCTCAATCGTTGTATGCTTTCTCTGCATTTTGTCCTTCAATTATTCATCTTTTTATCTCTTTTCTCGTACGTATCTTTTTATTATCTCTATCCATTTCTTTCTTTTTTTACCTCATTCCTTGTATATGTTCTGTAGTTTTTCTCCTTCCCTACTTTACCTCGTTCCTCGTTTGTTTTCTCTTTTTCTCTTTCTCTTCCTTCTTTTTTAACTTATTCTTGGTATATATTCTCTTTTTTCCCTTTCTTTATTTTTTTCTTCTTTCCTCGTATTTTTTTCTTTTTCTCCTTCCTTTTCCCCTTTTCCCCCTCTTTCCTCGTATGTATTCTCTTTTTTCTCCTCCTTTTTCCTTCTATTTTACCTCATTCCCAGTTTGTCTTCAATATTTTTCGCTTTCTTGTTTTTTTCTTTCTCTGTCCTCATAGTTCTTCTTCCCTTTTTATTATTTAATCTCTTCTTTTACGTTTTTTTTTCATTGTCATTCTCTTCTTTTCTCTTTGTCATTCGTTTTCTCTTTCGTTTGCTCCTCCTGATTTTCTTCTTTTTCTCTTTCATTATCATTCATTTTCTCTCTCCTCACCTTATCTTTCTTTTCTTTTTCATTACATTTTAATTCTCCTTCCTCTCAATATTTATTTCTTTCCTTTTTTTTCTCCTCCCCTTGCTTTTATTTCTCTATCATTCTTCTTGTTTTTACAGTTTTCCGCCATTTTCTTCTGAATATTTTATTTTATTTCCTTTTTTATTTCATTTTGAATATTTTAAATATCTTTCTCGGTCTCATTTTAAATCTCTTTTTTTTTATTTATTTCCTTTCTTTATTTCTATTTATCTCACGCGTCTTTAACATCCACCAACTGTTTTCTTCATTTTCTAAATGGCGTTTTCCTTTTCTTCTTTCTCTATTGTTCTTTTTGGCGCCTTTTTTTTTAAGTTTCACGACTCTTTCTTCTTTTCCCATAAATGGTGCTTAGATTGGGTCAAGTGTTGCTATGCCAAAATTACTCACCTCCACATCCTCGCCTTCAAGAAAGACGACGATTCGGTTCGTGTCACCGGTCCTAAATTCATTGTGCCTCTCTACCATTTTTATGCCTTCTTCTGATCTAATTTGCTTATTCTTGCTTAATAGGCAAGAATATCTTATAATAAAAAGTAAATTAGTTCAAGAAGAGCAACAACAACAATAGCAATGAAGACGCCATAATCAGCATCGGTAAACTGTAAGTAAATAATAATAATAATAATAATAATAATAATAATAACAATAGCGCCATTAGAAAAGGAATCAAGTACCAATAAAATTATAGAGAAACATGACGACAGTAGTAAATCTTAATGCTCCAAAAATGCCAACTTTTCGTAGATAGAAATATTATAATGATATAATAATGACACTGGTGCAAATGGTAAAGTGTGATTGTCCATCACTATTTTTTTTCTCCCAAATAACATAACACAGTATTCCCTCCATTTTCAGCATCCATCTTGCTCTTCCTCCTTACTCTCCTTTCCTCCCTTTGTCCTTATATATAGCGATTGTCACATTCAAAAATCATCTTCCAGTCATTACCTCCCCTGACGTTCCAGGCAGTAGCTCCGACCAGGCAATTATATTGTTCCACCATTTTTATTAAAGATTTCGTATTGCTTTTTCTTACACTTGCTTCCCTTTTCGCTTTTATTTATTTATAAAGAATAAAAGAAATAACACCAGTTTCGCGTGTGAGCAAGTGGAGTTGGATATGCCTTAGTTCTCTTCCGGAAGTTAAGTTACACGGAACATGGGCGTAAGTTGATTGGTGACGAGCATCAATTAAACTCAGGACGACTGCAGGCAAAGAGAAAAAATACTGTTCGATATAAATATACGGCTGATTTAGAAAAAAGAACCGAACATTTATCCATCCATCCATCCATCCATCCATCTGTATGTGTGTCTGTCTGTCTGTCTGCCTATCTATCTATCTATCTATCTATCTATCTATCTATCTATCTATCTATCTATCTATCTATCTATCTATCTATCCATCTATCTATCCATCTATCTATCTATCTATCTATGTCATCTATTCTTATCTATCTATCTATCTATCTATCTATCCATCTATCTATCTATGTCAGTCTATTCTTATCTATCTATCTATCATCTATCTATCTATCTATCTATCTATCTATCTATGTCAGTCTATTCTTATCTATCTATCTATCTATCTATCTATCTATCTATCTATCTATCTATCTATGTCAGTCTATTCTTATCTATCTATCTATCTATCCATCTATCTATCTATCCATCTATCTATGTCAGTCTATTCTTATCTATCCATCCATCTATCCATCTATCATCTCATCTATCTATCCATCTATCTATCTATGTCAGTCTATTCTTATCTCCATTATCTGTCTCATCTGTTCATATCTATCCATCTATCCATCCATCTATCTATCTATGTCAGTCTATTCTTATCCATCCATCTATCTATCTATCTATCTATCTATCATCTATTCTTATCTATCTATCTATCTATCTATCTATCCATCCATGTCAGTCCATTCTTATCCATCCATCCATCTATCTATCCATCTATCTATCTATCTATCTATGTCAGTCCATCTATCTATCTATCCATATATCTATCTATCCATCCATCTATCCATCCATCCATCCATCCATCCATGTGTCAGTCTATTCTTATCTCCATCTATCTATCTATCTATCCATCCATCCATCCATCTATCCATGTCAGTCTATTCTTATCTATCCATCTATATATCCATCTATCTATCTATCTATCTATCCATCTATCCATCTATCTATCTATGTCAGTCTATTCTTATCTATCTATCCATCCATCTATCCATCTATCCATCCATCTATCAGTCTATTCTTATCTATCTATCTATCTATCTATCTATCTATCTATCTATCTATGTCAGTCTATTCTTATCTATCTATCTATCTATCTATCCATCTATCTATGTAGTCCATTCCATCTATCTATCCATCCATCCATCCATCCATCCATCCATCTATCCATCCATCCATCTCATCTATTCTTATCTATCCATCCATCCATCCATCCATCCATCTATTCAGTCCATTCTTATCTATCTATCCATCCATCCATCCATCTATCCATGTCAGTCTATTCTTATCTATCCATCCATCCATCTATCTATCTATCTATCTATCTATGTCAGTCTATTCTTATCTATCTATCTATCTATCTATCTATCTATCTATCTATCTATCTATGTCAGTCTATTCTTATCTATCTATCTATCTATCTATCTATCTATCTATCTATGTCAGTCTATTCTTATCTATCTATCTATCTATCTATCTATCTATCTATCTATCTATGTCAGTCTATTCTTATCTATCTATCTATCTATCTATCTATCTATCTATCTATGTCAGTCTATTCTTATCTATCTATCTATCTATGTCAGTCTATTCTTATGTATCTATTATTGGTATCTGTCTCAGTCTGTTCATATCTATCTATCTATCTATCTATCTATCTATCTATCTATCTCTTTATGTCAGTCTACTATTCGTATGTACCTATCATTCTTATCTATCTCAGTCTGTTCATATCTGTGCTTGTATGTATGTATCTATCTATGCATACATTCATCTATCTATACATAAATATACATACATGCATACGTATATATATATATATATATATATATATATAGATAGATAGATAGATAGATAGATAGATAGATTTGAATACATACTTGTATAAATATATGATGGGTTGCAACCTCAAAAGAGCTGGATGAGTCTAATGGTGATTACGAAGGTACTGCAACTCGAAAAACTCACTCTGATCGTTCTGATAAGAAAATAATTTCTGAATTTGTTCGTGAGGTCCTCAGACTCAACACCGAGGCCTACATCAAGCGCCTTGATGAGCTAGTGCTACCCTGGGTCAAGAGGGTGGCTGCTGGAAGACCCTTTGTTTGGCAACAACACTCTTCATAATGCCAGACAAGCCGGAGAGTCCAGTTATTGCTGTCAGACAATTTCTTCGATCATACCACCCCTTACATCTGCCCACCTATGTCCCAAGACTTTAACCCCCTTGATTATTATGTGTGGGTCGCAATTGAACCAGAGACCAACAAATCTCTTCGTGATACCAAAGATGAACTGAAGGCAAAAATTATGGCAGCATTAACCAAACTAAACAAGGAGACCGTCCAGAAGAGTTGCAAGAGATCCCGAATTCATTTGGAGGCTTGAAGCGAGTTGGCGATTTTATTGAATAAATATATCATTAATAATAAATTACTTTTTATTATTTCAAGGTATTTTTGTGTAATTTTGGTAAATATATATCTGTTAAAATGGGATGTCAAAGTTATTTTCATTTTTGCGTAATTTAGATGACAATTTATCCGAGTGTGAGTGAGTCTTAAAAATGACAGTGCGCCTTTTTTTAAAGGGACCTTTTTTTAAAGGGACCTTTTTTTAAAGGGACCTTTTTTTAAAGGGACCTTTTTTTAAAGGAACTTTTTCGTCCAGAATGAAACATTCTCATAATTGGTTCGAGCATATATATATATATATATATATATATATATATATATATATATATATATATATAAAATAAAATTTAAAATCCATAGATCCATTCATTCTCAAGCAATTTTTGGAATAACCTATAAGAAGTTTACTCCACTTATAAGGATATTTGCTAACCGCCCCACGCGGTCAGATGTGGCCCAAGGCCGAATTTAATGTAGGGTATCCGAGCCCGTAGTCTCGGGCAAAAATTCCACGTAGACCTCGTAAAAAACGGAGTCGGGTAGCTGTTTACCACCCGAGACGAGACTCTGCCCTTCGGCATAACCACCTCTGGGTTCCTCTCTGCCCGAAGGCAGAGATTTCGACTAGTACAGCTGGAGAGGAATCTCCGACTGAAGACCACTCCACTTATAAGCACAGACTATCTCAATATATTAAACTGTTAAGGCTATGAAAAAATTGAATCATTTTCATAATGGGTGTTTTGGGCGTTAATTTCCATAGACAACTTATGCTTCAAATATAAGTTACTTTCAAAATCAGGTTAAGTTAATGCCTAGTAGGGTGCCTACTCACAAACAATGACATCCATTTTTCGCGTGTCGTCTGGTTTTATCAATGATAAAAAGTTTTAGGCATTTTTACTTGGCCGCTTAATTTTACCTTCGAGTACCTTTGGCATTAGCACAATGTCATTCTCAGGGTGTCTTTTAAAAAAAAAAAAAAAAATATGACTTCATTATTTTCAAAGACAAAATTGCTACGTTCATCTGTTTTTTTTTTTTTTTTTTTTTTACTACATTTTGTAGATTTTTGTCTTAAAATCACACCCAGGGGATGACATTGTGTTAATGTCGATAGTAGCTGGAATAAAAAAATATGTATCAACACGGTAATTTTCTCTCTTCTTTTAATACTGACACCAGAATCTCATCCGAGAATATGAATAGATCCTATTGAAAATAAGCATATAAAACTTATTCAATGAAACTTGCCTCAATGAAAACATGCTGCCAAAATACACTCATAATACATACACACACACGCACACACACACACACACACACACA